CATGCCAGACTAATCTGATCTCCTTTTTTGATAAAATTACCAGCTTGGCAGACAAAGAAAATGCTGTAGATATAGCATACATTGATTTCAGTAAGGCCTTTGACAAGGTTCCCATGTCATTCTTGCAAACAAGCTTCTAAAATATGGGTTAGACAAGGCAGCTGTTACATAGATTTGTAATTGGTTGACTGACCAAACCTAAAGGGTGCTCAGCAATGGCTCCTCCTCATCCTGGAGAGAACTGACCAGTGGGGTGCCACAGGGTTCTGTCCTGGGCCCAATGCTATTCAACATCTTTATCAATGACTTGGATTCAGGAATACAAGGCATACTTCTCAAATTTGCAGATGACACCAAATTAGGAGTAGCTAATATCCCAGAGGACAAGCTCAACATTCAAGATGACCTGAATAGATTAGAAAGCAGGTCCAGACTAATAAAATTAATTTCAACATGGAGAAATGTAAGGTACTGTACTTAGGGCAAAAAAATGAAATGCATAGATATAGGATGGGGGACACCTAGCTTAATGAGACTACATGTGATAGGGATTCAGGAGTCCTAGTAGACCTCAAGTTGAACATGAGTCAACAGTGTGATGCGGCAGCTAAAAAGACCAATGTGATTATATATAGTATCTAGATCAAGGGAAGTAATATTGCCAGTATATTTTGCTTTGGTCAGGCCCCACCTGGAATATTATGTCCAGTTCTGGGCACCACAATTAAAAAAAGATGTTGAAAAACTGGAGTGTGTCCAGAGAGGAGTGACCAAAATGGTGAAGGGTCTGGAAACCATGCCTTATAAGGAAAGACTTAGGGATCTGGGTATGTGTAGCTGGAGAAGAGATGGTTAAGCAGTGATATGCTAGCCCTGTTTAAGTATTTGAAGGGGTGTCACATTGCAGATGGAGCAAGCTTATTTTCTACTGCTCCAAAAACTAGAACATGGAACAATATATGCAAGTTACAGGAAAAGAGCTTCCACCTCAACATTAGGAGGAACTTCATGACAGTAAGGGCTGTTTGATAGTGGAACACATTCCTTTAGAGTGTGGTGGAGTCTCCTTCCTTGGAGGTCTTTAAAGAGAGGCTGGATGACCATGTCGGGGTTGCTTTAATTTTGAGTTCCTGCATGGCAGGGGGTTGGAATAGATGGCCCTTGTGGTCTCTTCCAACTCTGTGATTCTATGATTCTATGAAAAATATAAATAGTTGAGTTTAATCTGAATTTAACCAAGAACAGAAGATGCCTGTCTTTTGAGATATGCTTGTTTCATTCTCCACCTCTATTCTAGAATGAGAAAAAAACATGCAAAATTTTGGTGTAGCCTATCATTAAATTTCCTGCCAGAAAATTGTGAATTCTCATTGCAAGAGGAAAGAGATCAGAATGTGGATAATGAAAGCATTAGCTGCTTTTCCCTCCCTTAAACGTATATGAAATCCTTGCAGATTGATTAGAGTAACTATGAATGTGCAATGAACATGTGCAGTAAAAACCTGACCTGCATTCATTACCTTTTTGGTGTGCATGGATACACTGTATAGCATTAGGTGGGATCAGCAAGTCCAAATTAAATAATAAAATACAATTTAAAACATTAAAGCTCTTAAAACAAGTGCATATTAAAACAATTTAAAATAAAAAACACATTTGTGGCAGAACCTATAGAGCAGGGGTAGGCAAC